GCTGCAGTAACATTTCAGACACAGATACATTAGTTGGTTTTACATGGTACATCTAATGTGTGATGTGGACCAAATTTTGAGATCCCTTTGGGGGATATAGTGGTAGTTTCCATATTTACTCAATCAGTAGTAAGATAATAGGCATAGGGGCCACATTTGGAGACTGTCTGGCAGGCTCTATGCAGCAATTAATTTGTCTTGCAGGGACCATTCTGAGCTCTGCGAGATGTACTCATTCTTTTGAAATTGATATCATGTGGTACCTCCAATGTTTGATCTAGCCCAAATCTTGGAGGGGTCCTTTTTGGGTGTCTGTCGGGCCTAATGCAGCAGAAAATTTGTCTGGCAGGAGCCATTCTATAATCTGTATGATGTACTTGTTCATTTCAATTTGGTTTGGGGTGGTACCTCCAATGTTTGATCGAGTGCATTTTTGGCCCCTCTTAGAGGCCCCCCAGGAGCCACACGCAGCAGGTAGTCCCCGGCAGACATCCATATTTGCATATGTTAGGTTACACCATGAATGCTCATGTGTTCAGATATTGGTACCTCGTTCGTTTGATCAAAATGCTCTGGGCTGCCGGTCTAATACAAAGAAGTTCGCTGATTCTGTTCTGAACTTTTTAGATTTCGGCATTCCCATGATGTATCCTTGGTAGGAAAAGATGTACGTCGGTCGATACTGCCGCTGTACTGTCTTCGTGCATACTTTGAGGAATCTTCGTAATAACCCTATAATACACTATGGCTTTGTTTTCATTAGATAACACACTCAGGCCCGTAGCCAACACTTTTGAATAGCTGGTTCGAAAACAACAATAATATGTTTGACGTGAAACGTGTGAATTTTATAATATTCAAAAAAGTGTATTTGAGCTATGTTACAGACATTTTTATATAATTATTAATTTTAGTATTAGTCAATTTTGTATTATGTAATTTTGTTTCTGTACAGGGTCTCAGCCCATCGTACAAAATGTAATGGGTAGAATAACACGTTTTGAAAACAATACAACATCCATGTAAACATATGGTACTAAGTTAAGCTGGATTCATATTCATCTCGTCGCTTGAAAACTTTCAAAAGATACAGAGGTAGTTGATATACGGTGTGGCAGTTTGCGTAGCGACGAAGTAAGCCCAGACTGTCAGTATTTGCATAATTGCGTAGGGTTATTGACAAAAGATCAGCCCGTAGATCATTGAAAATGGACATATAAAAATAAAGTGAATTTCATTTTCTACCATGCTAAATTCAAACGTATCACTGCAAAAACTGAAAATGTATTGACCTAACTGTATTTTTGTGTGTCTGCCTAATTCAACATTATGTTTTATGGCCAAAACAGCGAAAACTCGTCAGTATATATTTTAGTCTATAATTGCTTGCCAATAAATCTCCCAGGTTATAATACTACTTTGATTTTTCCGAAAGTACACAGCCTTGATGATTTTGAAATTGAGGCATGCCATTCTTGCTGACAATATTTTTTTATTCTTTGAGTAAATATCTCTAAGAAATTTGCAGTATCTCCACTTGTTTTTCAAACCAGACAATGCCGAAACCATATTTGAACAGGAGATTTTTATGTGGGTTTCCCAAGTAAGTCTGCCGGTCTTGTCTAATCGTTTAAGCATGATATAACATCATGATGTTTTGGGGCTCGAAGTATTTTTTACTTCAAGTAAGTTTAACCAATATGAGATACAACGCTTGAAGTCACTGCTTGAATAAGGCCACCATTCATAAACAAACGAGGCTTATGCATTGCAAGTTAAGTAATAAATGTATTAACCAAGCATGACAATAGCTGTGTTTTTACTGGCGAACTCAATCTGGATCGAGATAGAGGTAATATTCGACGTTTGTGTAGAAATTAATAACTCCGTGTTCATATCCGGAAGGGGCCAATCAGGTTAAAATCTGATGTACTGTACGGCGTGAATTGACTTGAATTATAAATTATATTTTATTATTACGATATATTTTGTAATCGTTTTTATTATTATTACGTGCTTCGAATTTTGTGTTACTTATCTTTTCCCACATGGATTTTACGATTAACAAAACAAATAAAATAACGTAGAAAAAGTGAATTATAAAATAAAAAATAAAAAATAAACTAGCATCTTATTTTAATCAGATTGGAAGGTGCCTAGTCGGTCAAAGCACCCTTCAGTCGTCGAAGTGCTGAAGTAAAATACCCCCCAAACAATGCTCATATTCCCTAGTAGGAAATTGAACAAATATTTTCATGAACATGCATAGTTTTGAGAGGTGAAAGACGCCGATATTAGAAAATTAGAAAAATCATTCAACTTTTAGTGAAAATCAACGTCACTGAAATCACCTTATTAATTCCGCAAAACATAACTTCAACAACGAAAGTAGAATTCAGTTCAGGCTCTATAATTCCATGAATTGTGACATCAGTGGTTATTATCAGACAGTTTATTAGACAGTTAAAGTTGAGCCCGGACATTCATGGAGATAATACTGTGTACATGCGCAGACGAGTAAACCCCAATAATGATCATTGCATCTAATGCGCATGGCCGCGTTGGCGGAGTTCATTACAGTCTTAATAATATTTAATATTTGGGAATGAGTATTTAAGGTAAATAAACTGGGATAAATCAGTGCGTTCCATGTCACTAAATCACTAGTTACCTGAACCTGTGAACTCAGTTTTGTACCTGCCGCGCCGTTTGGCCAACTGTATTTTTTTCTCAATCCTGGAAAGTAGAAACTGGGGAAAGGCCGCCAAAAATGCATCATGTTTATGACCCGTTTTCACATGTTACGCAATTGTGATTGGGTGCATCATGCTTTAGGGGCGATCCAATCAGGTCAATGCATTGTACCAAAAACGTATTTTTTAGTTCCATGATTGTACCAAGGCAAAATTATACGACATCTCGCTGTAATTCCTCATGGATTCGTAGGGGAGTATGTTTACATTGAAAACGTTCTGATTGACAGCGACGCGTTCAAATTGCTTAAAAGGCACACTAGAATAAACTCTGGTTAACAAAAGGCGTTCTGGTGTGCAACTGAGGTTCAGTCTAGCCATGCCATAATAAATAAAGATGTCAGTCAAAGTCTGAGACGAAAACTGATACACTCACCACACGCTTGTGTTCGCAACAGTCCTGTCCTAATTAGATGCAAATTGTATTTATTCGAATCAAATTCGGATCGAAGTAGGTGTCTCTCCACTTGTGCTAATCTTGTTCGAAACCACGTAAACTAATTCGGATTGAAGTCTGGTGAAGAGGTGGTTTCAAATGTATTTGATTTTCCTCAGACTTTGACTGGGGTGTGTGTGCCCGATTAATTGTGCGATAATTTCATAATTTGCCGCAGTGCGTCAACGTTTGACGCGAATATGAACCGTTGAGTGCAGTAGTCAGTAGTAGACGATCGCGGTAGACTACGTACGTACGTTCTATTTGATCCCAGGCAGCGAATAGTTTTGTTATATCATGCGCATGTAACGACAAATACCAGAGGCAATACGCATAGTTCAACAAGTCTGAGGGACTGTGTTTTGCGAGGACAGCGATCTTGTTCAAATTACAGTGGGGATTACAGTGGCTACAGAAAGTGGTTCAAAACATCATTAAATTGAGCCGAATTAGTTAACGTGGAGTCAATTGAGCCCGAGTGGGGACAGGAGTACTACCAGCCGTCCGGAAGAATAACCCAATACACTGTCTTCAGCAATGGTCACAAAAGAAATATATTATATCTTAAATATGTACCCATATTAAATGTTGAGTATTTGTGATAAATACTAACAAAGAATTTATCCTGTGTACTTTTACATGATTTATTATATTTAGTTCCCTGCAATACGATTAATAATTAAAAGTAAATTACAGCATAAACGCGCTGCATTTGGATACCAATATACATTTGATTGACCCCGTTGGCATTGACCCCGTTGGCATAATGTTACATTTCAATATACCTGCTGCTAAGTGATAGCTCGGATTGATAGTGTTACATCCTTCAAACCTTTTCATTACCGTCATTCGAGATAAAACAATATTCACTGAATTTCAAATTCAGCCAACATCAACACAATTTGAACAATAACAGGGGCCACGGCGTATGCAATACAACACCAGTAAATCATCAGTATCAGACAGTGGAACTGAAACTGTGCATCATATGTGTATTTGATGGGTATGACAATTTAAATATCAGTATTTTTATTTGATGTGCGGTGATTCGAATAAATCATTTCGTTAACTAGGTTTTACAAGACTTGAATGAGTCGGTATAAATTCACCATACATGTGGCGGACACTTTATCCACACGTTTCGACTGACATACAGTTTCATTTAATCATAAATCTCCTAAGTAAGTAAGTAGTAAATAGTAAATAGTTCAGCAATAAGTCACACTGTCAAGATTTAATTTATTTCACAAGGAACATTCGATAACTAAAAAGCACTCGGAGGGCGCAGATCTTCGCCAAGCAGCTCTTTCACGCCACACTCTCACTTGTACCTAAAATTAATGCTTCTCTTAAATATTTAGATCTTCGTCTGTATTCCTTTTTGGAGTTATATAAACTTAAGCTGAAAATGGGTCTACCTGTCAATGAAGAAGAATTGTTTAACTAATTCCAGGGCCACCGCTAACATTGAATAGGATCTGTTGCAGACAAAGACACGCCTCTGGTAAAAAGTAAAGAAATCTTTTCATAACGTTTTCTGTAATGTTGCTAACATACAGACAAACATGCAAACCAACACTGCAGGAAACACAACCTCATTGGCGAATGTTATGATGTAGATAATCAACTTATTCTACTTTTTCTATATATTGGCTTTACTTATGAACGGCGGACTAGAGGCAGCACTAGTGAATGCATCGTCTCCTATAGCATATGCCGTAAACAACAAAGCAAAGAATAGCCACACGAAGGTCACGTATTCTATTATCCCGTTTATGGTCCAGTGGAGTTCTTGTACTACGCTGTTGTTGCCGTTGGTAACTATAGTACAGTTCAACGCAGACACAGACAACTGTAGCACTGTAGAAACGTTTTTTTTAAGTGTTTAGTAGTAAGGTGTGACTGTCGTGATTGCAAGAAATAATGGGATGTGCCGGTTCAACTCCAGTTGGTAGCAAGGGGAAAGGAACCAGTTCACAGATGACGACTCCCCCGTGGTCTAAAACCTATTATATGCAGCCTGGGTTTCTGTTACCTGTAATTGTAAACAAAACAACCATTGAAAATCAAGTCAACAATTTTGAAGTTCGTGACGAAGATGTATTCCTTATTACCTACCCACATACAGGTAATGTGTTATTTTGTATGAACCGCACACTGTTTGTCTGTCTGTACTACTGTCTGTAAACACAACATATACATTGTTAACTGTTAGCCTTAAAGGACAGTTGTCGTCGGCCGCGTCCTGTTCGATATGGGACTCATAGCGACGTATACAACGCGTGTAAATACATTGTTTGCTTACATGATATTAGAACACGCGCTGCTCGACGACCATCGCGCTTTAACAACAAGGCCGTGTGCGGATATACACTCACTACGATACGGGCGGGGTACAGGGTCGCGATATTCCGTGCATGTGATAGTTAACCGATTATATTTCGAATACAACGTAACCACTCAAGACAGTTACCTCAATTTATTCATAATTTTAACAATCTAAGTTATTATATTTCAGGCACGTTGTGGTTATGTGAAATCGTTGAAGCAATCTTCAACGTTGATAACCTGGCAGTACTCAAAGAACAGGACATTGTACAGAAGATGCCTCTGTTGGAGCTAGGTCCTGCAGAACACCCCGATTTGAAAGTGGATGAAATCGACATCCATAAAAGCGTTATTGAGATGTATCTTGACAGCCAACCATCTCCACGTAAAATACCCACCCATCTGATGCCCGAATATGTACCCACTCAGATGATGGAACGTAAACCCAAAGTATGTTTTTTCTTTTTCGTTTTGTGGATGCATGTACATTTGATGGGATTATGTTAAATCTCATGAATTTAAAAAATGCACTCAAGCTATCACTTCTTTTTTTATAATAGAAAAATAAAGTAATTTCTGCGACCAGTCATAGATATACTCCCGGCTCATTTCAAATTGAATTTATTAATTGTCACCTTAGAGTCGTACGGCGATTCTCTAGAATTTACCTATCGTTTCCACAATTCGCAGACAATTTTTATGACAAGGAGTCCCAAGGATGTCGCAGTTTCACTTCATGCATGGAGAGCATTCTTGAAGTATTTGGAACCCGTGGAATGGAATAAAATGGCCGAAGAATTTATAAACGAAAACAGTAAGTCGGCTATTTCCTTCATATCATTCAAGATTTTGTATTGCCAGTTATTACGTGGCCATGACGCAATATACGTCACTGACGCAATAACTCAAATGTGGATCAGGTGAGATTCAAATTATAGAAAAAATAAGAAAACTATTACCGAATGTGTTTGACTCAGTTCTTCATTTTGTTTCTTTGCATCCCGTGAACTATATATGTAAGACACTATGATTAGAATAAGCGGTACTGTTGATATCGCTTCATCGTGATTATATGTAACATACAGAATTTCTTTTTTTCTAGCCGAGTATGGATCGTATTTTGAATTTACTAAGAAGTGGAGCAAATACAAAGACGAACCATGGTTTATGTGGCTTAGCTATGAAGACATGAAAGAGGTAAATGGTATACAATTTTATGTGGTGTATTGGGGTCCTGGTTTCTATCTGTGGACCCAGCCATCAACGATGTATCTTTGCAGATAAACGACAGTGGCACCTTTATGATATAACTTGCATTGGACGATGAGACCGACTGATCATGCGTAGTTGACGCAATTATTTTGAGTATTTTTGCGACTCTCGTCGATAGTTGACTACCGCCGCTTTTATGGAAACGTAATATGTTTAATTATCAAGGCGTAATTGACGGCATATTCCAGGTTATATTCGGTTAATTATAATATTTTTACATGTAATTTGTTGGTATTAGTATAACTTTTATGACCGAATTATATGAATTATGCATGAGTGATAATTATGAGTTTTTCAACATACTTTACTGAAAGAGCAATATTTATTCTCTAGGATTCAAAGAAGGCTATACGACAAATTGCAGATCATATTGGTCGATCGTTATCTGACGACCAAGTTGCCAAGGTAGCTGAAGTAACTGATCTCAAGTTCATGAATGAAAACGCATCAACCATAAAATCACGAGAACTCTTACTGAGGCCGGGAAAGGACTTAGTGATCGATGGTAAGCTTATTCGTCATGAGTAATAATTTATTACCGATTTGCAAATATATTAAAACAAAATACAGATTAGTTCTTGACATTCTCCCACGGTAGTAGACTATTCAAAAATATAATATAAGGATATTGACCTGTTGGGGTCACCAGACAAATTGTATTTTAGTGGATAGTTGTTATTTTGACAGTATTATAACGTTTTTACCATAGGTTTCTCTGGCAGAAATATTATGCCATGATATCTTAAATAGTAGACTGGTGATATAGGCCGAAAATCAATATAATGTCAATGTGTCGAAAAATTCATTTTGTCTTCAAATCTTTGAATTCTATTGCATTAAAAAAAAGTTAAAATACGCAATTTTGTGCTATTATTTGATCGACCTGGACTTCGCCTCATTATATTTTGCTGATCGTGAGATGACATTACTGTGGAAATACTAGTTCCAACATTATAACAAAATGTTTAGTATTTTGTGCAGTAGATCATGTATTCCACCACGAATGAACATACAATCGCAGTTTGTTTTCAAACTATCACCATCTCCCTATACTTGCCAATCGAATTGTTTACGAATATATATACATAGTACCGTAGCCAGCAAAAACATGCCATGCGCGATTTTCTCTGTTGCTTCATATTATAAAATCCGAGTTAAAAACTAAAAGTCGACCCGTGCAGCCGCTACGTATCATTTCTTTATACAAGTCCTATATTCTGATAGTGTTTTTTTTTAAGTTGACGTTACCTTATATACATTATATATATTGACACGGTTATATGGGTCGCTGACATACGCCTATATAGTCGTCGTTTGATATAGCGTCAATGTACCCCCAACACACATACCTGCATTAACAACAATTCTAAAACTGGAATTTCTCCATCACCTGAGCCAAATTGGAAATGTATATCCCCCAAACATAAGCCCCACCGTGACCAGACAAAAATAATAACTTATTCATTTGTACAAAACATATTTCCAGAACCGTCTTCCGACGTTATCATTTCCCTGCTGTGCTTTTATTTCGACTTTTCTCGAAATTGGATTCTCGAAGGCTTGTTATCGATTTCAGAAATTGAACGAGACTCTCGTGCTATTTTGTACGTTCTTCTCCGGCAATCTAATTCAGATTGGCCCAATATGTCCTGAGGTGTGTGTATGTGTGGGGGAGGTGGGGGAGGGGTACAATGACGAGCGCACACTGTTCTGCTGCTTCATTGCTAACTTGATCGCTTTTGATGTTGTCGTCATTGCCCACACCCATATACGTCTTTGCTATGTCATACAAGCGCGACGTCGTTAGAAGGGCATGATTTATAGACAGACGTGTATTCCACGTCCGCCACTTGATCCTCTCTCGTTTTTCAATGATTGCAACAAAAACTATAATTTTATTACCTCTAGGTGACGTTGCCTGGAAAGATGTATTCACAATTAACCAGAGCGAAACATTCGACAAGCTATACGATGAGAAGATGGAAGGATACGAATCACTGAAATACAAATACGAATACAAGACATTCGACCTCAGTGGCGAATGATAGTTGCGGGCTAGTATTTTTATTGATGAGTCAAATCGATCTGACCTTATCTCACAACATGTCCACATTTGTTAATACGAAAATAACATACACAATGAAATTGTACACTATCCAATCTCAGTCTTTAGTCTGATATAATACATTTCTATACATGATTGACATTGATTGAACAATGAAATACTGTGTGTTGATATATGATTAGAATATATCTTGATGTAAATATGTTTTCGTCCGGCATGTACTTCACAGTCCAATGTGTCAATTAAAGCGGGAGGGTCGTCACCTGCGCACGCACGCGCGGGAATTGAGTCCAAACGGACGATAACAGCACACGCTAAAAACGCAAAGGCTCATGGGTAGACGCTTGTTTGTAAACAATGACATGCTATGGCCAACTGATGCATGCGCAGATGACGACTCCCCCGCTTTAGCATACAGTGAAAGGACAATTTCAAAAAACAAATTAATATTTACAAGTGTCAAGAAGAATGTTAGTAATACTATTCATACACGAGTCTAAGATAAAATTGAAAAATAAGTTATGCTCTTTTGACGAGTCTGTTGTTTTCTTGTATTCATCTAGCATAAACAATTTTTCGACATAATGTAATTTCTTACTAGTAAAATGTTGCGTATACACACATTTATATTGAACAGATATAATATTGAAAGCAAGGGAGACACCATGTTACGTTGGTATAATATTGTCTTGGCATATTTGGTTTTGTAACGTATTGTGTATGGCCTACACGAGTTCATCCGGAAGCTAGTTCTCCATATTAGTAGTGGTTCTGTTACAAAATTACGATACGTTCTGTTGATGCGTCGTGAAGTCGTGAGCCAATAACCACAATGCGCCCAAGTTTTGTGCGGAATCGTGAACCGAAATTAACACGTTTTGTGGAAACTCAGACACGCCAAAGTTCTGTCGAGCGTCATGAATTCGCGAGTCAAACCCTGATATGTGTTGTTAAAATGTCGGAAAATTGTGCGCCAAAATCCTGATATACACTTCACCATGTGATACGAAAAAACAGTCCTGGACGTAGGGACATTGCAGAAAACTCAAATATCTATCTAGCGAAATAAACATTATATCCGCCATAGGTATGAAAGACACTGACGAATTACATACCAGTAGTTACTAGGTTTTGAATCTCATGAAAAATCTACATAAAACAAATAATATTTCTAAATAATATATGATTGTACTGCATACAAGAACGTATGCCAGCTTACAAATCGTATTGTTTTTTCGACAATAAGAAAAATGAAAATGGCTAACATAAGAAATTCCGCAGAGTTGGTGACTGATTGCGAAAAACAAAAGACTTGTGTTCCTTGCGAAGTTTGGGTTGCTATTAATATTCATGTGCTGCAATTTGCATATCACGTGGCCAGTTTGTTGGAAACACCGTGACGGTGCTCACAGCAAACCGGACAACCAACCCGTTGCCGACTCTTGGTTTTATGTCGCCCATGCCTTCTGATGTCAACTCATAAATACTACGACATTGGAAAACGTTGAAGAATTGAATTCAATTGTACAATTTAATATTTCTGAATAATAAGTGTCAATACTCATTTTGTTCATTATAAAAAATAATCGGGGCATGTGGGGAGGTGTATTTTTTATCTACACAATAAACAGCTAGACTTTTAATAAGTGGTTGAAATTTTGAAAATAACTTTAGAGCAACATTGGCAACTGAATGCAATTAACAAGCAGTGGTTATGTCAATATCAAACTATAAATACAACGTGCGACATTATTCATTGTAACATTTCAAATGAATATAGTTAGTTGCATTCACCATTGGACACAATAATGCCCATATCAAGTCAAAGCCAGTATGAATTATTCCATGTACCCAATAAAAACAAGAAAGTAGATAGGTCGGCAGTTGAATGGATAAATGACTTAATGATTTGTTTTTATAATACCAATTTGAATTGTACAAATCTGCAATCATGGCTGACTACAGTGTCAAATTCACTGACTTGTTGGCAAGACTCGACTCACTAGTGGGACAACCATTCAGTGTCAATGTCAATTCATACACTACCACCAATGGTAGATAGTATGTCTTAATGGCAGTTGTTGGAGGTGTGATGAAATTAGATTTTGTTGATATCACAAGTCCATGCACTATCATGCACTATTTTTTTCATTTGCTTTATACTAATATCGATTCTGACAATCAACAACGATCCCTGCTACAAATTGATACTGTACAATTAATTGAATAGGCTGGATATCCACATTTTAGTGATCTTAACGTTTCACACAATCAGATTATAATATTAGCTAAAATACTGCTGTGAGCTCAAATCTTTACCCGCAAGATAAATTGAAAGTACTGTATTCACTCCTGTATGATTGTGTTTCGCCTAAAGACTCGTATAATGAGACATTTATCTGTTATGATGAACGTGACATTAGAGATACTTAAGTGTCGCCAAAATTAAAAGTCAGATCACAAGGACACACAGTATTTCTCATGGTGGTCGACCTTTCTGGGTGCGCTGTTATCAAAAATGTTTGTCTGAACCCTGTATTCATTACTCCGTACATGACACTGTTAATGCTGAAGCTATTAGTGTGGGCGTGAATGTATGCAATAAACCTGTCTCTTCTATCAGTCATCGTCACGATTCATAGAAATTCAAGTAACACAATGAGATATGATGTACATGTAGCTGGCAGTACGTTCGTATGTGTATACAATTGCTTTGTGGTCGTAGCTATTGCTTCCCTAGCAAAGACAATTGAGTAGACATATTAACACAGACAAGATCATTATGCCAATGGCCATCATAGTGGTATTTCGTTTTGTGCAAACTTTCCTGTAAAATGTATGCTGGCGAATGTATCTGTATCTGGAATATATACAGGGCAGCCTTATTAGACTTAGAGATGATGCGAAGGAGAAATGTATTCATCTCCATAAGATGTTAGACATTAATGTATATTAAAACATGGTTTATGACACACTACATGTCTAGATGTGATTATATGTATATCACTCGGTCCTCCGAAAAGACCAATTACTTTTAAGATAATACTGATATTAACCTTTGTTAAACATGTCAACACACGCTGTTATTACGAAAGATTTTACCGTTGATAAGTACAGTTCCAGTCACCATAATGTTACAATACTTCTAAATATCAAAGGAAGAGCCTGTACTGCAATGTGTGCTATCTTTCCTCCACTCATGTCATCATCTTTATCTCCGGTTGTTGTGAAGATGGAAAAGTTATGCTTCTGTTATTTTAAGTTTTTGCTTGCCATAACTTTGACAAACACCGTAGATGTCACAAATTATCACGAATATACACTTTCAACACAAACAAATTAATTATTACAGCTGTTTGAAAGAAGTACTGCCAGAGAAAAACACTGTCTAATTATATAGGATGATTCCAGTGAGAAAACTTAATCGTATTTTTCTTAACACAGTGGCGACGGCACCGGGTGGGGGCAGAGGGGAGGTCGTCCCCTCGAGAAAAATCAAACTGAAACCATTTGTGCCAGGAAAATTTGCCACTCAAAATGCAGTAAATGCAGTGTTTCAGTGCCCCTCATGCACAAGTTTGCGCCGCCGCCTCTCAGACTGTTAATACAAGCATTATTTTTAGTTGTATACAATGTCAGGATGAACACTTCGAAAATCGATAGTTAGCATATCGGATCATGTGACACTGTACTCCATTCTTGTTATTTGTGAACCATCTTCAGTATTTGAACGCTACATTATGTCCTGTAGCCAAAAATCGTACAAAAAAAGGATAATCAGATCATTTTACTTAATATAGTATATACGTCATTGGTTGTCATGGCTACACATGAACTTTAAGAAAGGAACCATTCGATCATTATTTTTATGCTCTGAATGGTGTGTTAATAATACTACAGGGTATTCTGAGATACTAAATGTAAGTATGAGTACGGTATGATTCTAAGTACGAATAAACAACACTTCGAATCAGAGCAAAACCCTGTACTTTTTACATAAAGCTGTGACAGAGTAATCATTAAATGGACAGAACCTAACAATGTGATACAAATGTTATCAACCTTAATAAATACTAAACCGTATTAATCATCCAGGCCCACAGCAATGAACACACTTAAGAAACATTAGTTATAAACTGATGATATTACGATAATTAATTCATATCCTACATCTCAGTATTATTCAGCTTGTGTAAGAGATCTGAACACCAAATTATACACAGGCGACGACACGAAATTTTGCGAGATCTGCTCCCCCTTAAAACTGAAATTTGAAATCTCGACTCTCTGAAACGCTATTTTCTGCATTTTGAGGGGCAAATTTTGCTGACACAGAGGGTTTCAGTTTGATTTTTGAGGGGCGACGCCCAAACGTTTTTTCGAGGGGGCGACCACGCCCCCCGCCACTGTTATACAAAATAAATGTCAAACTGGCAAAAACAACTTTGCCTTTTCTAGCTACCCACAAATTACAGCAGATGGCAGCTCTGATCGGGATAGAATCAGAGTGCAAACAACTTCCTTTGTTTTATTTAGCGTATTGCCAGTCTATACGAGATTAAACATCCTCGTTGGCTATGTGGACCCGAGTGAATCCATTCATTGTTTACATTATAATACAACTGCATTTGACTAGTAGTCAGAAAGAAACTGTCGTAGGGGCATTAGGGGTAAATTTGTGAGCCTCCATGTTCTCTCAGACGGAACTGTCAAAAAAATGGTATCCGGCTACGGGGCTAGGATGCACCGACCCAGTGACTCTATCTTATTTAGTTTGTTCTGGTGGTAGGTTATCTTATTTACGGATGGTTATTCTGTCAATGTGTGCTGTAATATGCAAGGTTACAGGAAATAAAAAAAAGGATTTTAAAATGAAAGTTCCATTTACAGTAACAAATAGTTTTTTACACTTTACAGATAAAGCAAATTCCTAATTACATTTTACATTTTTATAATATATTTGATAATCTGTGTTTAAGAATCAAAATTGGAAATCGCGTACGAATTACAGCGTTTAATGTGCAAAATGCAATATACGCTTACAAAAAATAAGATCTTTTTACAAATTATGGACGAATAAAATAGCTGATTACATTATACACCTTGTCCCTGTCTACGATTTTACGTTTTTTTATTTATTTAAATTACATTATTACGAAAATAAAAACAATAAATTACAGCTTTCAAAAATACCCCTTGCCGACCCTCGTGATTTTCTTCCACCTTAGAAGTATTTTGCACTGCGAGTTTGTGCTACTCGGTGGCATGTGCTAATATTATACTTAAAGCCCAATTTAGCAAGTGTCCAATCCTCCCCACCTGAATCTCAAGTCTATCAAAGGAAGTTTGAATCAACAAATATCCGGAATGTGTCATGGGGGCTTCATGGTTCTGCAGATCTCTTCCTGACACATGGGGGTTTACTTCTGTGGACTATGGCGAATATTGAAGAAATCTAGCACAGAATGACATCTGCTTTCAGCCGCTGACTTGTCATTGTAGCGTCAACCAACAAAATAAAGCGCGCTAAACTATGAACATTAGGTGAATTGGTGGCGGCTTTGTTTAGTCAAATTTGTTCAAGTATTCGCTTTTTACGTTACGTAATGGAAGCTATGATTTAGCTGAAACAAGATGAAATACGAAAGACGATGAGCAGTAGGTTGGGACATTACATAGTGCTTTTACCAAACTAGTAATTACAAATGTTATTCGAAAGTACAAATATCAAGGCCGGGCGTGAATAGCAATGGGGAAAATCACTTGCTGATGTTCTTCGAGAATCAAAACAGTGCCTCAAAAGGTTCTCCACACACAACAGCAGATTGATACTTGACAAAGTAAAACATACATACTTACTTACTTACTTACTTACTCGTCTAGTGTTACCTTTTGTACATATGCATATATATTCTATCATCTATATTGATATTCAATATGACACACGATTAGAAGATTTCATGTTTGTATTGAGTGACGCCACTGTAAACTGTTTTGGTATTTCCAACCCGCCAACTGCATCTTCCAACCTGATAGCATAGCACTATTCCCACCGTAAACGTGCAAACCTTTCTCAACCAAATATCAAAGGTATTACGCACGGGTCCATTAATATACACCAGATTACTTGGCCATACCCACTGAGTAGCATCTCCTAAGGGTTTATATATTCCCTTTTAGGAACCCACCCCCCCGTTGTCCCCTATCATAAAGTCAGCTGGGGTGTTTTCTCTTCTTTTCCCCTTAATGTTTTTGTCATAAACACACCACCGCCGGAAATAAGGTTGTAGCGATCACCAGTCACTGAGACTTCACAATGATCACTCTGAAAGATACAGGGTTTTCTAAAAGGGATTTAAACAGTGTCTAATTGCAATCCGATACCTCCAAGCTACATAGTCACCGTCGACCGACATATATTAATGTGTTTGAAGCAAAGGGTTCAACCACTTCTTGCAATATTCCCTTAATCACATGTTGAACACAAATTTTATTACCAGTATTCACAAAAGGACTTCATTTCATACGAACATCAAGCAAGAAACATGTCAAATATGTTAAAATCTATATATAAATTACATCAGTACAGTTGAACAATGATTGATACGCTCTTGCTATGATGCAAGTAATCAAACAGATGTAATAAGAGCTATCCGTTTTATGAACGTTGATGACCTTGTTGCTATGTTAGTAGTGTTCAGTGACCGGTAGTCTATTACATTACGTTTAGGCAGCAGTTGTATCACGATTCCCTACAAAGCACAAGTTATATTGCAAAATCCATCTTGTGCAACTATAATCCTCCAAACTATTCTTTCCTGAATTATCTTAAAACTCAATATAACAATACACATATACTATGCTCCACATATTTGACACAAGCTAACACTAGAATTAACAACCCATTACTTCCATTGGTAAAAGTACTGTACGCATAAACACTTGGAAATTCAGAAATAATGAAATACAATGCAATCAACATTTCTAGTTAGACATATTATATACAATACAAGGCCATATTGCTTCTCTGTTGTGAAATCGCAACTTCAATCATTCCAAGAGACAATCTCAGTCAAATCCGTTTACTAGTACATGGCGGGCTATATTATTGTAGAAAAACAAAAGTAGTGGGTATGGGGAAAATATTATAGAATTGTGTACTTTGCTCTTGAAATGAAGTAACTTCCCTCAACCGTACATCACCGGTATATTACAAAATCTGTAATATCTACTTCGGCAAGTAACTCTGAACGTAGCCACATATATAACGCCGGGGTTTCTTCGTCAACTAAAACTACACTAAATAAACATATATTAAACTATGTGTTACATAAATATCAGTTACTATTTCAAAAACACTAGTTTTGCTTGATAATAGATCAAAATAATCGTTTTATACACTATTGGAATAAATTGGTATAGTTCAAACTAAACAGTCCCAACGGAGATATTGAATACTTAAGTCGCACACACACATTTCAAGTGAAACATAAAAAAATCACATATCACTCAAACTACCGGAAAATGTGAACGGTTGTTTATAGTAATGAAAGGGGTATATTCTCTGATTACCACGCATAACAATGTTGCAAAACAATATGTAATGTTATTGGCAATGTTACTTAATGATGATTATTTGTTTCAGTCAAACGACGAAAGTGGTCCTCTACTGTTAGAACAGTATTTACCCTACGAACCTCCGATGCGTGAGACCCTTCTCTGTGCGTTACTGATCCTTCCCGGTGGTCGGTACGGCAGTTGAGGACCACGCAGACAAATTGTATGTAGTTCTGTCTGAACCGTTTATTCATTACTCCGTACATGATGCTGTTCAGGCTGCTATTAGCGTGGGCAAGGATTATAACAGTAGCATGAATATACGGAGGAAACTCATCTCTTCTATCACCCATGACAACCGCAGCGTATGGTGCCCAGCAGACAAAGAAGACCACAAAAATGAAAAATAGAGTTTTCAGAAGTTGTATGTCTCTGGAATTAATTTTTCGTTCAGTCTTAGACTGGCTGTATGTAGATGCGATTCGTAACTTCTGTCGGCGTACAAATAGAAACAAATTGAAGTAGCACACTGTGACGACCACCACGGGGATATAAACAGCAACAGTAAGCAAAGATATAGTATAGCTGTAGCTAGCAGTGCGTTCGTATGTACATACCATTGTTTTATGGTCGTAGCCATGGCCGCCCCATCCAAGGAAATTGGGTAGATCTAATAGCGCACAAACGATCCATATACCAATAACCATTATTATGGTATTCTGCTTCGTGTAAACTATCTTGTAGAATGTGTGCTTGCAAATGTATATGTATCTAAAATAAAAGAATGAATTGTGACATGGAGATGTTGCGAGGAAAAAAATATAGTTTGCTCTATAAGGCAGTACCGATTATGTACTGTAACAGCGGTTGTCACTCAAAGGTTAAAATGGCCGTGTACACCATGCCAATTTTCCGTGGTGTACTAATTGAACCTTGCATTTATTCACACCCTGGCACCTATCCGCAATCCCGGGAGTTTGCGAACCCCAGCTCCCCCTGACTGAAAAGACAGGCACATGGAAGCCACAGTTGGCCCAGACGGGAGGTAAGCAAACATATATGTTAGGGGGGTAAATAAGTGGTCAACTTTTAAAATGTGAGTGACATTAAAAACACATATGAATAACAAATTGTAGAGTGCACAATATTGAATTTAGTATTCGATGATTTCACTAGGCAAAAGACGTTAGTCCTTTTGACATCTTTTTTTAGTAGTGGACATTTAAACAAAGTGTTATTGACAATAGCACAGGACACATTCAGCGGTGGGTACACGATATTCCCAGGTCTATATTTTTTTCCTCTGTAAGGAAACCCTTGGTGTGATATTGTCTTTTAAAGATCGCTTCTCTCCTTTGGCAATATTTTCTGCTCAGCGCGAAAGGTATACTTACATATGCTTCTAGTTATACAAAAGGGGTCAATTATTAATCACAATAGTATGGAAAGTGTATTATTAACTCAACATCATTCCAATGTGTGATCAGACCAATTATCATATAATCCCCCTCCAATTACAATTTAAGACGACAGACGGAAATCATAATTACCATCTACCGGCCGGTTAATTACCAGGGTCTTTTCACACATGTGATTATGAGAATTTGTTGTAGAAAATAGTATGTTGATCCCGTATCATTTGATAATCGTTACAACTTCCCTTTCCAATCATCGGTCAAACGTACAGACATGTTTTTATTTGAAAGAGAAAAATGCATCTATTCGTGTTTACATCAACTGTAAGATGCATGGTGTAAGATCTGTGTGCTCTTAGCAATTACAGCACATTTCAACCATTATCATTATCTTCCGCAACGAACGTATTAACTTGTTGTCAATATTACTCATTCTGGGGGATGATAACGTCATGTTGTAATAAGAATAGACATGTACTCACCGATTAATACTGATTGCCATGATGTTCCATAACGAGGCTATACATGCGATTACACACACACTAGCTATTGTTTCACATAACGCCGACTTATTGGAAAAATAGTGATGTGATCTTATCACACCGATGACACTAAACACGTCAACAAACGCTGTTACGAACAAATCTGCTAAGGCAAGATTTATTATGAAGATGTTGCCGGCTTGAAAGATTTTACCATTGACAAGTACAGCTCCAATCACCATAATGTTACCGATATTTCCAAATACCAAGAGAACAGTCTGTATTGCCATATATGCTATCTTTCCTACACTCATGTCATCGTCGTTTTCTTCGTTATTCGGTTGTAGTGACAACGGGAACTCCATGTTTGTGTTGTTTAAATGTCCGCTTGCCATGACTCGAATTGGCATGAATAAATATTTCAACACGAAAAAATGAATCACAGTCAGTAAACCGGTTTACAAAGTTTGTCAGAGAAGAAAATGTTGTGACAGTGCCAATAGCTCGAATTTAACATGGAAAAAACATAGAATTATGAATTTAACTATCTCCTATCAAATTCTGTCTATTGTATAATGCTATGATGGCCACACCTACCAAATGTTACAGAAAATGTTAACAATCCTTTATTGCTGCCACGTGACACTTTGCCGTCACTATTCACCATGGAAACGTATTAGAAGAGAAGAATCCGATCCGATCATTTTAGTGTGCACGTTACCAATTGTCATATGTGTATGGTCTTTCAAAGAAAACCACTCAACGAGTAATATCAATATTATATATAATGTGTCCTACTATTTTAAATCAATTATTCTTTCCTCAATGGCGTAAAAATAACATTGTTACATTCAAAATGGACTTGCATACAGCCGCTTGTTTGTTGGTTGGTTGGTGTTTTTTCAATAAAATATTATGTGAGTGTACAAAAGGCAAATGTCGGGTTCGACTGTGATTGTATTAAACTATTTCAATATCCCTCGCCTTGTATACCTCCTAATAATGTCAACATGTAAATTCCCTATGCAATGCCTTTTTGCCTTTTGTTATTTTGTGGAGATGGTGTAGCTCAGAAAATCAATGATCTGTCTCTGCCTTTACTAATTGATCTCACCATCAACTAGAGTGACAAACATATTCAAAACATTAATTGATTATGTAATTAACATAAATCAATACAAAATTCACGTCTGTAAACTAACTAAACATATCTCAGATAAGTTCCCCTACATTTGCATTGTTAAGGGTGAAATAATATATCACTACAAAACACAAATTATTCTCCAATGTCATTAACTCAATATCTAATAGTGACTATAAAAAGGTTTAGTCAGGTTGCCAACACAGAAAAGCGTAAAAGTGCGTTTTCATTTTTTTGCTGAAAAGTGTTCATCAATACATCGTGTTTGATATTCAGACGGGTGCCCTGAGTCATTTTTTCTAATTTGCATAAATTCATTATGGCAGCCAGTGCACATTTTTTAAGATCAATTTTGAATAATTTATCGAATTATGAGCGACTTTGAGAATAGAATAAAAGAATCATCGTGTAAATTTAGGAACGTGCAAATAAAATATTTGTTATCTAAAAACCTCTAATTTGCATAAATTTCAAGCAATGGCGGTCATTTTGAATTGCCTTTCTTATAAAGTATAACTGGATAACGGTCATTATTTGGTATTTCATTATAGTATTATAACTCTGCTGAATTATATTTTTTACCCGTTTGTTGATGAAAGTTGATTATGCAAACATTTAAGTGTTTTGATAAGTGATTTTTGATAAAACACAATTCTCTTGCTAAAACAAATACTAAAAGTTTACTATGAAAGCAATTTGTCCATAAATCAATAATAACAACTGGTACCTATACGGAAATAAGGGAACGTTATGTACACTAAGACATGGATATATTTGCATTGACTACTGGATTGTATATGTAGAAAAAGAATGTAGAATAAACAAAAATGAATGCACAATCGAGTTCTCAACCGGAGGCTATATGACAATATTTTTATTCCCCGTTATTTGATCTATCAGATTTACAATAAAATGTACAGGGCAGTATATTGTTTTTGTCTAGTTTCCAACCAACAATGTGATATGTAAACTGGTACCATTTTCTATTGCTCTGCTGCAGACCACACCATTGTCTGCAGATACGTCCGTTTGACATATTGTTATGTAGTATCACGAGCTGGAGGGAGATTTTTGTGGGTGTCTTTCTTTTTATTGAAGATCTTATGTATAATGCTGTAAACAGTTTATGCTTGTCCCTGGATTTCTTCCATAAGCACAAAAGGGTAAGATACGATTTCCCACCCAGACAAGACATGCTTAGGTAGAATATCCATATAAATTTATTTCCCAGTTTTATAACTGTTGCATTGGTGCTGATTATACTTCAATCCCGCTTTTCCATATAAACTTGAGTAGAAATGGACAAATATGTCTGTATCTTGAGCAGTTACTTGAACATGATCATGGAGCGTCAGAAGGTAGCTGATGATATTCACATATAATTTCACCAATAAGTTGAATAGTTGTGGATTTATGATTTGTGTGGCAGATGGTCTTGATTAGTTTCTTTTAATAATCAATAATTTTTTAAATATTTTTTTTTATGCCGATGGTGATATTCCTGGGTGGAATGAATATCGAAGTGCGTAATGTTTTTTTGGATCGATAATCGGAAACCTAAAAATGATCTGTACCACCATGGCATCATGCGAGGTTTAAATTGGCACTACGTATTTGACTGCACACCCAGATGATTTAGCCATAGCTATGAAAGATCGTGATCACTAGTTACTCTGGTCTATGGTTTGTTACATTAATTATAACAATACAGTATTGTCTTCAAATGGTGGGGATGCTCAGGACAGGATAACATTTTCGACATGTGGAAACAATACTTCAATTATTATTATTATCCTTAGTGAAGAGTAACTGTGATCTGTTTTACATTGGTATTTCAGACATTTTAAAGGCTATTGATAAATTGTCGTCAATGATGTTATTTCTGCAGAACACTATAAGCATGCCTGCCAGAGTTAGACTCTACTTGCTAACGTTTTTTTTTCATTCGATAATGATCCATGGGTTTCTTCCCCATGATTTTATGAAAACAATTCTGATTCTTATAGTGAAAAACAAATCAGGTGACTTGGCCTGCAAGGATAACTACATGCCTATTGCCATTTTCACTGTCTCCTCTAAGATTTTATCCTAAACCAAAGTCACATACAGTTACTTAAACATGGATTTAAGTCTGGGCATTCTATGAACATGTGTAATTATGATATGAAAGAAATTATTGTTACTCTTGTCGATGAAATTCTACTTCTACTTCATTTTCTGTTGGAAATGGCGTTTGGCAGGGTAGAATTATTTTGCCTCAATGCTCATTTAAAGTCATCCAAATTGGCCTGTTGTGTGGATGCGGTTTTCATCAACCATCTGATGACTTGGTATATATTGAGCCCATCCATATCTGGGGTTTATAAACTCTTGGTAATGATTGCTATAGATATGGTTCAGACCTCCATATTATCTACAATCCTAAAACGTCTGACATATGTACTATAACCCTCAAAAGGGTGATCTTAGAAGTAGTGTATTTCCATCCATTTCCATTTTGGTAACTATAAGCATGAAATTGTGCATAAGCACGTTTATCTAGAATATGTTGTTACTTATAACTGTAATATGACGGATTCAATCATTCTATGGCAAAGCCAATATTCTGCTTCGATTTTTCCTAGTTGCAGCAGTGATGTTAAAATTACATTGTTCCGACAATTTTGCACTAACATATATTGTTCACAGCTTTGGTTTCAACATATTCGCCAAAGTAATTATGATCTCCGTGTTACGTATAATAATGCATTTCATTTATTTTAGATGCAATACTCGTCTTACTAAAAGTGATAATATAATCGTTGTAGTGCTTTTATCATCTGTTCAAAGTTATGCCCCTGTGCCATAAACATGTGTATACGCCACAGCTATTCTAAAGTATTGAATTAATATTTTTTTATAGCGACAGTTAAACTTGTGTTAATTGTGGTAGGCAATAATAATATTCATGAATATTAACTACAGGATTTTTTGGAACAATAAAGCATAATAATATATATACAGGCTTTGAGCTTTAAATTGGTCATCTCCTGCTTTGTTAGTCTTGGGATCTGTTACCCAGGAAGGTATTCATCAGTGTGTGTAAACAAATAAATTAGAGGCAGTGCCATTTTATAAAGCATGCACACTCAAATCGATATAAAAATACGCATATTCGCATATTACGCGAAGTTTTCATTATAAGAGCGCATTACAATTCGTATATGTATCTTCGTTCAGATCAGCAACGATATGTGATGTGTAGTACACTACTGATATATATTAGTAGTTATATATACTATTAGTTTATTTTATACTATATTAAAAGAGGTGTATTGTGTCACCAATCTGGTGTGCTATCCGCATGTACGTATGACATGACAATATCATTCAATTGTGTATGTCAGTACGTGTTAACTTTCCCATGTAATATTACTTTAATTTCCGCATTCCAACACCTATATGTAATGTATTTTTTAAACCTGGACCATTTTCACACTTTCATGCGCGCCATGTCAAATGTCATCTCGACTGTCTAGCACACCTTATTTGGCATGTTATTAAGCTCTGGTCAACGACGTTGACTTATGCTAGGCGTCGTAGTGACGTCACGAATAAATAGAGGGAGGACTTTTAAGGGCAGAAGGAGGAGAAAACTGAGGTTCCACGGGCTGTGTGTCTCTAGGCGTGGCTGCAAAGCCAACGCCTGGGAACCAAGTTCTTATCACTACATGTATTATCATTAACCGATGTCTCTACAAATAAATATCCTGATTGTAATCATTTTGTTTTAATGTTTATAGAAATACGTCTTCTTCCACACCTGTATCGACACAGTATCGAAACGAAATGTTGAATATATTATGCCATGATTATTATGTGTATATAATTTCATGAAATGGGGATTGTGCCAAAGCTTTCTTAGAAACATGTTTTGAAAGCATTGTCATTCGAAATAATCGGTAAGAACTTGTAAAGGAAATAACTTTATTATAGTGTGGAGGATATACACATCAGTACGTGTTCCTGTGACTGTCTTCATAGTAACTACTATTATACATGATTTACTTTAAGGCTCATGCGTCATGGAAAAATCACTGTGGTGTATGCCAGATACAATATTCAGTATTTTGAAAGCTTGTTTTCAGCTTTGTTTGATGTTACGGACACAACGAAACATTCCCTGTTGCCGATTTCCATCTCCCCAGGCAAAAATGTAAGTATTGTCCCTTTTGAATAATAAAACTCAACATTCTTTTGGTAGGAATTTTGCCTTGAGCAAGCTTTCTGAATATATGGATTTGGTTGATGCTGCTCAAGCCGGTAAAATGCTTCCTGTAAAATAATACGTAGCAGTCAGAAGAGTTTAGAAACTGTCACAACTTAAAGGGGAGCAGAGGCCTGGTTTTTGTCACTCTGTACATGAAATTTGAGATCTAAGAATGAATTCTGGCGATATGAAAAACAACTTGTATGTGCTGTGAAATGCCCTAAATATCGAGTATATAACGGGATCTGAAGAGGACGACAAACGCCCACTTTGTATGGCGTTATTACGCCACTAGAGGCCAGTCAATTACGTCATCATTGAACACTGATAATTGAACCCATTCATTCTAGTACGTCAATCCGCACTTCCTCTATAGAAGTGCTACTATGAAAGACCTTGTTTACTGGAAATTTAAAAATTCAAACATGATGAGGTCTTGTGTGTATGAATGCCATAACGATTCATGTAAAGTTTCTCGAAATTCAAAATGAAAAATCACGTTCAAGCTATTAGTAAACAGTGAGTAAATAAATATTGTACGAGTTACAACTAAATTAAAAATACGCTAACATCACTTAAACTACAGTACTCATGTCGCCCAACTTCTCACTTTTCAATTGACTGCTTATCACAAACCAGACTTGCGTGTGGCAATAAAATATGAAATAGAACAAAGGTATAAAGTACGCGAAAATCAGACGTCCATGAAATATGGAAGTGTCAAATATGTAAACATTTGACGACCAATCATTTGTAAATTCATGATTCAGAGAAGACTTTCGGTACTGAAAATCATCTACCTTAGTCTGGTTTACCTTATTTTCTCAACTTGCAAAGAAAACTAATTCGTCGTGTTCCCTAATGTATCTCAGCCTAGTCTTTCTTTTTGAACTGGGGTCAAATCCTACCTCTTTGTCAAAATTTACCGATGAATAATTATGAAGCCAGTCGAAGCACAAGAATAAATGTACTTAAATTGACACCGGAGATTGGATGGTGCGACAACCTTCAATTTGCGTCAAATACGCTTTGTTACAACATAATTGATTGGCTGAAAGTCACCTGATCGAAGCACGGTCTGGTTCACGGAACCCTATATGTTCGTATCATCTACAGGATTTTGTGAGAGAACTACACCCACATTTTCAACCATTTTTAGCACCAAAGTTGCCAACAAATGTCGGAAAACGGGTTCAAATAAAATAAAGCAAGCGATTGGTATGAATGGTTATTAATATATTACCCGATGCTCTTCGAGTTTGATTTATTTATTTTTAATTTCATTTCAAGGCAAGAAATGGAAAGTTTGAATTGACTGTTTCAGCGGGACAACTCTAGTTCTCTTATAGTTTGGCAATGAAAAATAACAAATATATATAATAAATAATTTTGGGAGGTTTTCAGCCCTCAAATTACTGAACACTATCCCCATGAATTACGGTCGATGTTTGTCCTGTCACGGCTTGAATGACATGCGTCGACACTGACGCATCCTAAACTCAGCATGGCGAAACCAACGACGATCGACATTCCAAACAAATTATTACCGGGACACGGTCGATACGCATTTCAAACAATCGAAGTATTATCGAAAGACGAGATATTAACAAACATACTGTAATACCAAACATACGCACAATTAACAAATACACGAAGAGGTGTTATGGTATGTTTGTGAAGCACATTGTGAAGAGTCAACAATAAGGAAAGGAAACCCACAAATTACACCGATGTACTTCGCAAATCAGACAATCATACCGTACTTGTGTTGATACATTTTTTGTGATAGTACATAACGTCAGAATATAGTTTAATATAAAATATTCCATTGCGTGCATATAATTATAGATAGTTAAAAACTAAATATATTTGATTTGATGGCTACCCACTGCAACGTTTGTAGAAACCAGGTATGTGTATATAATAGCGATGTGGCTGAGACATCATTAGTGACTTCATCACCCATCGCCAGCCAGAGGCGAAATGACGCCAGGCAAAGAGGACGTTTGTCGTCTACTTCACAGCCCGTTTTTATTCGCGATATTTAGGGCATTTCGCACATACAATTTTTTTATCGCCAAAATTCATTCATAGATCTCAAATTTCATGTACAGGGTGATAAAAGTCAGACCTCTGCTCCCCTTTATATATTCTATGATCTAGACTGGCCCAGTCGTGTGAATTGTGTTGCTGCTTTATATGATAATTCCTCGAATTACAAGTTTGTAGAATCTTCCGCGTTGAAGCGAAATTTCCATAGTGGATTTAAGAAGAATTATAAAATTGTCACAGCTGGGTCAGTCTACTTATGTTCAATCTTTCAATGGTAATATATTGTTTCATTTGGTAGTCATATTTATTCTGCTGTTCCACCGTTATAAATGACGGCCAAACAAATGCTAGATAGACTGTATCAATATAAGTAGTTTATGATTTAATTATGTATCGTTTTGATCATTTATTTGACTTTGTATTTCAGAATTCGACAACGTTTTGAATACATATTTGTTATGCCAACTTGAGCAGGCGTATGGAACTACCAACGACGGTCATACTTTTATTTAAATAATATCTTTGCTAATGCATATAATTATTATGATATTTCGGTTCTATTTATGAATATTCAACCGTTGAAGTACTAATACATGTCAATTCGTTGTTAAAGGGCGCCATCACGCGGGACTGAGAGTAACGGCCACTTTGATCTTGTAAACCACCGTCCCATTGAGGGACGGTGTGTAAACACATGCGTTATAGCCTGACTCACAGTTTGTCAACTCAGGACGAAGCCTATTTAAGAGTGAACTGACAAACCCATGTCACATAAACATGCATTATTACTAAAGGTCAAAATAATCTATACTTTATCTTTATCTATATTCCTAAAAGTGTGTCACATCTAATGTGAAGTCATCGTGAAAACTCCCATATTAAAAATTACATTTTTTCCAGTATACACCGGGTCGTGAAATGCAGAGGCAATAAAATAACGAGATAATCCCCCATTTATAGCGTGAGCGTCATGGCATAAATTGTTGTAGGATTATCCAAAGTCAACTTAATCTATGCTCCGCCATTTTAGTGATGGCTGAAGCAAATATGTCAGACTCATTTCACAAAATATGCCAACTGATGCCATGATTTTGTTTTGCTCAATTTTCTAAGCAACATATGTAAAAAGTTTGAGAAGTTGATTCTAATTGTCAGTTCTGTATGAACAGTTACATAATTTGTAAACGCAATTTGTAACTGTTTTTACTGAACGCAACTAACTTTCTGATGTAAAAACGACTTTATTACTTGTACTCCGCGTACGTGTAGGTAAGTAAGACACGAAACTGGCACATTGACCGTACTCCCAAGTTATCGTGTGTGTTTATCTGAAAATTTAAAATCTGTCAACGCTGAGTGAATGATCGAGTAGAAAATAATATCACCAAATATTGTTATCGCATGTTTCCACAAGGCACGTGTCGTTACTCGCAGCATTACACAGCGGGATATAACCAGTAACAAGTACTAGTTTTGTTCTACTCTCCTTGGATTGGGCGCTATTCGTACGTTGCTGTTGTTTTCATCGTCGTCGTGGTCGTTGTTGTTTTTGTTGCTGTTGGCGACAATTATAAGTTATTTAGAAGGCAACCATGTAGACGACATACTGTAAAATAATTTATTTTAGCTGAAATTATTTTTTGCTGAAAAGACTTTTTGGGTATTTTGTATGGAATTTATTTTCACTGATTTTTGACAAGTTGAATCTAAAATATAGGAAAAATGTATATTCGCTGGGTTTTATTTTCACTGAATCATTCCTTCAGAGAAAAATAGCGAAAATTAATTCCAAGCGAAAATAAAGTATTTTACAATGATGAGAAAATTGAGATGTGAAGGTAAAATTATTGAAAAAGTCACCCGTAACTAAACTGCCTAGCCCCTATATAAAAGTGGCCCTGTTTGTCTTATAAACAAGGCGACATACACGTACACACAGTCCCTCTATAGAGGCACTGTGACATACGTATTTGTTTCTGTCGAGAGCGGAGGGTAGCTCTCGAGAAATTTAGTTATTAATTTTGGAGATTTACGTAGGTTTGGCCAGAAATCATATAGCGTCTTCGAGCAATCTAATGACCACTCATTAAGAATCGCTAGATGAATATATTTTATTCAAAATCGTCAGTGTTGACGAAATGGTAGGGGTCCTGGTCCGATGAGTCATGCGTAGTACAGGCAAATGCAGCCTAGTATTATATAATAAGTCAGCTGACCGTAAGCCGGCTTTTTGTTGAGATACATATCACACTCATTACAACGCCCTAGCTGCCTGGATATAGATGTTATTCCTGTGATGTTTCGGTATAAACACCCTTATCGTACCTATATAGTGTGCGAGTACCTGAGTGGCACAGTTTGTACATATACGCCCCCAATCCCACGCCAACACGCTGTCAATTATACGCGATTTTCCAATTCTACACTATCTTCACGACCGTCACTCGTTTCCAAGATGGCTGCAGAGTTCCTACCGAAGTTTTTCAGGTGAATGTGTGCATGCTTCGTATCAGATTTCTTTCATTTAAAAATGATGCATTTTGCTTACAGAGACAGTCAAATTGTGTGTCAACCAATATTTGTTATGAAACAATGTGCTGGTCGTTTGTACGATGATAGTTGTGGTCAAAACTGAGCAGCTCAACTGCGGAACACGACTCCCGTTCATTCTGTGCACAGATAAGGTATGTGGCCAGTGACATGGACGTGTTAACTTGTCCATATGGCATTGTGCTGCGAGTAAATACCAACAAATGTGTATATTTATTAGTTTATTTAATTATTCATATTTATTTATATATTTAAAATTAAAACATGACTTTTTTATTACAGATTTCCAGTTTTTATATTTTATGTTCAAGATAGTGAAATGTGTAATTTGTGTAGGCATGGACGTACTACAAAGTATAGGTGATATCTGTCACACACTGAATCCATTCGATTCAACCATGGTTTACGTGTGGAACATGTGTTATGACCACCTAACTCAGTCAAAATTAATTGACTTTGTGAGAGGAAATATTCACTGGGAATTTGATATATAGATATTCATTGTTTTGTTGTTGTTTTTAAAATTAGGAACAGTACATTCTATCATTCTATGTACTTACAATAATAATAGTTTATTGTGATATTATCCTACCGATTATATGAAGCAATGATTTATGTAAAGATGAGGGTATGTGTTGTGATGGACATCTACTTGTTCATCACAAAATTACTTGACAGACCACAGTCACAAACATATAACATAGAAGTAGTAATACAAATATATGAGGTGGTTTCTGGTTCCTGTTAGACTGGC